CAGATAATAAGATCATTTTTCTTATCGTTCAATATGGGTAAGATAAACGGATATAGTAAAAAAATAACTTGTGTTGCTTTATCATTGTTTTTTGACGAATTTTCTTATATTTTTTGTTCCTAATACAAACAATCGAATGTCAATTATTATTAGTATAGAATGAGTCTTTTTTTCTTATTTAGAACTCGACAACAAGATTTCTATGATCAGTATTAATCATCATACAATGATTCACATTATTGGCATGGAAATAATTCAAATTCATATGATTTTTATGGTTCAACACCAGTGAAAATCCCTCGATTTCAACATCCATCTCATATACTTTTACAACAAAATGGTTTTACTCAACAAGTTTATCTTAAATATAGACAAGAATGTCTTGGTGGTAAAAAAAAAAGTTGATTGTAGAGAAAAAAAAAGATTAGTAGTTCAGTACATATTTACAATATTTCGAGAGAAACAAGCTACTGGTAAAAAAAGGATTGAAATTATATTGCATTGAACGGAAAAAAACTGAGTCTTTTAATGACTAAAGAAGAGTCGAATATATCGAGAAACAATAGCGAAAACTACTCTCCGATAAAAATCATAGTCTAGAAAGACTTATATTCTTATTTACATGACTTTGATTTTGGCAATTTAATAACATAATTTACCTTTTGACATATTTTTGTCGTATAATCATAAATTTGAAAAGCAATAAAATAATCTTCAATGATAAAAAACACTCGGCAAACTTTATTATTTCATGGGAAATATTTATAATCTAAGATTATGTTGATTTATAAATAGAATACATTTGTTTTCTTATGATCTAATTTCTAAAGCGTGCTAAACTTGGTCCTGATCAATCAATGGAAATGAACATACTCTATCGTGTTTAGTCATTTTTCTTATGTGAAAATTTTAATCATCATATGTATAATGAATTTAAACAATATGCTGTTGAAGATGCTAAAACTGATCATCGGTATATAAATGAATTGTTTTTATGAAAAATAATAAGAAAACAATTGAATATTATTATTTATGTATAGATATGGTGTTGAATGTCTATTTCGATTTTATACATATGGTCTAGAAAAACATTTTCGTCAACATGTATTTGAAGATTTTCAACAAGAAACTCTTTGTGATCGTGAAGCTGGTAATAAAATAGATTACAAAAAAAATAAAGTGTCAATAAGAAAACATTTTTTCTATTTAGGTCAATTGTATGGTTTAGAAAACTTCTGGACATTTTTAAAATATTCTCGACAAAAACCAAAAATTAATTCAAAACTTGAAGAAATTTTAAAAAATTATAAAAATCTTGAAGACTTTCGTGTTGATGGTGCATCATTTCCACGACAATTTTTTCCAACAAAATCAAGCATTATAGTAATTGAAAAACATTTTTTTTTCTATGATGTACATAATCTCTTTATAGACTGTTCCAGCACTCGAAGCAATTGCTGCTGCAGTAGCAAAGAACAGTGATACATCAAATTCATTAAAAATCAGTGGTGAACATTTTCCAACACGTAATAATCGTGATCAAGCTCGACAATCGAATCGACGAACAATATCTGAACGGTACTAAACTTTATACACGTTTTATTTTTATTTTTCTATGTATATATTACATTTTTTCGTTATTGTAGTAGATAGATAGATTAAATAGTGATGCATTTTCT